ATTTTTTGAGATAAAAATAAAAAATATTTGTTAGTAAAATTAAAAACTTTTATATGTAAGGAAAATTATGTATTTTATTAATTATAATTAGTAAAAAATTTAAGTGTTGTATTACTTTTAATGATCACTGTATATAATAAATAATTAAATTAAAATTTATTTTGAATATTTTTAATTTTTTTAAGTTAAATAATAAATATTAAAATAATTATAATTTTAATTATATATATAAATTTAAAAAATATATAATAAAATAAATTTTAAATTTTTTATTATAATTCTTAAAAAATAATAAAAAATATTATTATAGTTAAATTTCTTTATAATTATCATACTTAGAAAAGTAAAATTAAATAACTAAAAAAATTTAACTATAAAGAAATTTTTTTAATTATAATTAATTAGTAATTGAAAAACTTAAAAAAGATAATTATAAAAAAGATAATTATAAAAAAAGATAACTATAAAGAAATATAATTATAAAGAGATTTGATTATATTTTAAAATTTATATTAAATATTAATATTATTTATTAAATTATATATTATATAAATAATAAATAAATTAATCAAATTATATAATTAAATATAATAAAAAAATTATAAATCTTAAATTTTAATTCTAATTTAATTTTAAATAAAATATTATTAATATCTATATCTTGTAATTAATTTCTAAAAATTATAATTTGAATTTTTTAAATTATTAATATAATATATTTTAATTAATAATTAATATAAATTGATTTAAAATTAATAAATATTTTATTTTAACTAACTATCTAAAAAATATATAAAAAAATATAAAAGTTTTTTAACTTATATTTATTATATTATATTTTTTTCAAAAATAAACTATTCTTAAAAGAAGTTATTTTCTTATTTTTTTATGTAAAAGATATATATATATATATATATATATACACTTAATAATAAAATTTAAAAATAAGTTATTTCTTCTCTTTAATTATTAAAAATTATGCAAAAATAATAACTTATTTTTTGGAAAATATAAATATAATTTACAACAAAAATATAATAATATAATTAGTATTATATTACTTAATAATAATGATATAATACTTATTTTATTTTTATTAAAAATCAGATCAAGATATTAACTATAATGATATTATATTATTAATTCAATATAAAAATTATTTACAAGCAATTTATTCTGAGATTATTTGAAGTTTGATTTTATTATATATTATAATAATTCAAAGATAATATATAAAGATTATTTATTATTATTCTTTATAATAAATCTATATAGTCATTTTTCAGTTATTATTATAAAATTTTATTATTTTTTCATTTCCATTTTTATAAATTATTTTTTTCTTTCAAATTACTAAAATTACTATCGCGATTTCAGTCGCCATTCTATTTTTAGCTATTTTTATCATTATATACACTATACATATCTAGAGAAATTAATGCGCAAGCTTCCAAACAGAAAAATGAAAAAATTTTAACAGATATTCCCGAGTCAACTCATTACGAAATTGGTTTATAAAAAAATGATGCCTGTAATTAATTGTATTTAACTTATAGATAACGATAACATTTCCAACTTGCCACAAAAAATTATATGACGATCAAGAGAATATTTCACCAATAAATTGATGTCCTTATACAGATACAATTGGTGCCATCCGGCTTGCAACAAAAGTGTTTGTTTTTGTAATCTCTGCAAGAACATTAGCGGGAAACTCGGTTCCCATTGATGTCGAGCAAGAAGCCAATTATGGTGCTTATATAAATAATAACAATATTATTATTATTTAATAGGACAAAATGATCTTTAATAGTAAACTAATGTTTTATTTCAAAATTATTTTTTCGTATTCTTCTCTATCGTTTCTTCATCATTATCTTCTTTGAAAAGTTTCAACTCACGAGCCAACTCTGGAAATTTTTCTCTCACCCAGGAAATAACATAATACTCCTCTGTCGATCTCTGTCGACTATGCAACATCGATAGAATAGTGCGTATCGATTTCGCATTTGGCTTGATATTATCTTGTGCCATCTCTACAGTTAAGACATCAATTGCCTCATCAAAAAATGAATGTCGTGCCAAAGCCTCAATAAACGAATTGTAATTGTTTGTGTTTAATGGGAATTTGTGAAATTTTAAGTCCCGCCAAATACCACGTATACGCCACATATAATCATTGTATGCACAATTGTCCAGTATTATTGAGATAGATGCGACGTCAATAATTTGATTGCTAAGCCACAATGCGTCCCATATTTTGAATACTTGTGAACCATCGCCTACGACGTTGTATGCATTCATTAGTGCATTGTATAGTTGTATGGTTGGTGTAAGTCGCCAGTCCATATTTAAAATATTATGTATTCTTCGTATTGATTCGCGATCATTTATATATCCGAAACCAGTTAATAAAATACTGTAGCTTAGTGAATCGGGTGATGCAGTGTCTTCTGCTCCTCTATCACGTTGTCGTATTAAATCATTAAAGACTCGTTGCGCTTCTGTCATTCGTAATGATCTCGCAAACGAGGCCAAGATTTGATTGTATTGCTTTGTACTTAGATATGATTCTCCTCCTTCGAACTGTTGTCTTCGTAAATATGAAACCAACGCCGAGTAAAACTTTAAAGCTTCTGTATGATTCCCAAGTTGATTCGAAATTTTTATCAGCGTAACATAAGTGAAATCGTTTAACTTTACATTGTCCTGTACCATTTTTCGGTACGTTTCTAGAGCTCCTTGGTAATCGGCTAACTCGAATTGTGCATTCAGCATTGTATTGTACAAGTACGTGTCTGGTTTGTGTCCATATCCACGCATTTGATTCAATAGATTGATTGATGTATGTAAATTTTTAAGTTTATTAGGGGCATTTGTGCTCATGTCGTCATTTACTTCATTGTAATCTCTATATTTGAGAATATTGATATCACTGTTACTGTTACTGCTATTACTAGTAGTACTATTCAATAACTTCGTAATGAAAGAGGAAAATGTTTGTTGAGTAGGTGTCAAGCCTTGATTAGTCATGGACGATAGTAAGAATGTCGCTTCCTTGAAATCACCAGCGTTCAGCAATGCTTCAATATATGTGGAATATGTCACCGGGTTTGGTTTCACTCCTTGTTCAATCATTTGTTTGAAAATGTTCGTTGCATCAGAGAATTGATGGTTTTTTAGGTGATGGTCGATCAATGTGTTGTATGTATATATATTGGGTGCATTTGATGAAGATATTCTGGATGTTGTTATCGATGTAGAATCATTATTTGGCGATAATGAAGTAGACGATTTCAACATATCTTTATATATATTCGATGCTTTCTCCGTTTCTCCTTTCGCGGCAAAATATTTGATTATCGTGTTTAGCGTAATATAATCCAAATTTTTTGATTCGCCATTGCTCCTCGTCATTATTAGTTCGTAAATTGACTGAGCATTTTCCATATCTCCGGCATCAACATATCCACTTAACAAAGTAGAAAATGTCATCATATCAGGCATAACACCAATTTCCATCATTTCTTGATACATTTCTCTCCCCTTATTCATCTTTTTCATCTTTGCAAACAAATCAATCAACGAATTATACGTCACGATATCCGGATGCACACCTTTCTCTCGCATCTCTTTATAAACTCTCAACGCTCCCTCAGCGTCCAAATTTCTCTTGTATGCATTAATTAAATTATTAAATGTACGATCCGTCAATTGGATTCCTTGGTCGAGCATTTGTTGGTAAATTTCCATAGATTTGTCGGGTTGTGAATGCACAACTCCAGTCGCGTAGATTAATTGATTGTATTCAAAATTTCGAGGTGTTAATCCTACGGTTTCCATGTCGTAAAACATTTGGTGAAGCATAGTCAAGTGATAGGGATTTGTTGATTTCTTCAGGATTGCCATTGCGTCACGATAATTTTGTCGTGTGAGATGTTTTAATTTCCCGGCATTTAAGAGTGCGATATATGCGTTGGCGATTTCTGTTGCATCTTTTTTTGAAATTGAGGTTTCTAGTCTTTGAATGTATGGAAGTGGGTCATCTTGTAGTTTGATGATTTTGTTAATATTGTCAACGTAGGCGGTATTTATTTCTCGTTGTTCTGCGTCTACTACTGGTTCCGTATCCGGAGATGTTAATTGATCTTTGTTAGTGTAATCTGTAATAGAGAATGACAAAGAACGCGTTTGAAGCGCGTAAAAACGCGATATTGGTATTGGTGTTGGTGTTAATATTGATAATGAGATTGCTGGGAATGGTGATAACACGTTATTCTTCACTCGACCCCACCAATATTTGTTGTTATTCCTAGCAATACAACTATTAGTTTTATTGTCCTTTTCAATTAATGAACTATTATCGTGCAACGACGACGACGACTCGATAATGAATACAAATGACGCTTTTAAAGACTGCAATAGATATCTACTCCTCGTGATAATTTGGTTTGGCGTTCGTTTTTGCGTTTCTGTTATTTGAGTTTTTGTGCTGGCTGCTTTTGATATAGTAAATATTTTGTCTGACACCAATTTTAGCATTTTTCGTCTTGCTTTTTGCTAGGGAATACTTTTCGAAATTATAATAAAAGATTATCAAATAACAAAAATTCCGATTCGTCGAGTCCATCATCACTATCCAAGATCAAATTTTGTCACTCCGAATCTGGTAACTAAGGCCACTAACATATAAATTTAAAGGATAATATATCATTTATTATACATAAACTCGATCTTTTCATCAAATGTACACGAAAAATGATATCATTGCTGATATCATTGATCCCGATATCAATACGAATGATCATATAGCATCTACTAATAATTATGGAGGATCTTTTGAAGGTCCCGAAAAATTACTCGAAGTATGGTTTGGAGCGTCACCGGAAATTGCTACCAAAAATCAAAATGATAATAGTGGTAACGATATTAATAATGTTGCCGAAAAAGATGAAAATGTAAACAGATCAAAAAGAACAGGCCTCAGACAAGTAGAAACACAGCACTGGAAAGAAATGCTAACGATTGTGAATTGTCAAATATTATCCGTCATTTCGAATCATCACGTGGATGCTTATTTGTTGAGGTACTTAATTTTTCTAATGGTGGTGATGTGAAATTTTTAAGTGCCGGGTATAAGCAATCCCTTTTTTTGATGAAATTTGGACAGGGGTCGCTTATCCGTGGCTCAAAATATGATTCAAATGAAAAGATTCAAGAATTATTGAGAAATATGGTCATTAATAAAACGATGGTATGGTTAAGGGAAATGACAAATATCCTTGGAGCGGGGAATATTAGCTGATGTCTGTCACTCCCATAACCGGGTTCATTATAATTATATTTATCGGATCAAGCAGAAAATATAATCGGATCCAAGAATATCATACCATGCTTATTATACTCTATATCCTAAACCCATGCTTAGCATTTTCCCAAAGGTATATGGGCATGTATGGTACCAGACAATGCTTTTCGTCACTTTTTTGCTTGATCCGACCATACATATTATCGTAACACCATACCTAAGCTTTTTCCGATGTTTACCGAACTAATTTGCCCATACCATACAGTTATTTGTATTTCTTAATTAGATAGAAACATTTACAAAGTGGGTCTCGTTATAAGGACACCTCAATATAATTACATAACAAGCCGGAGCAGTGAACGACATTTAATTTGACATGACATTCTTTATATAATGAATTTTTCAGTTTGGACTGAGGGTGTCGTTATAATAAGACCCACCTGTATTAAGATGATTATTATCAAATTTTGAAGAGAGTTGTTTATAGCCCGGTATAGAATATTTAATTAATTAATCAATCAATCAATAAATCGAATCAATTCAGTGAATCATCAATGTTCGTCTACCCACACAAACTCATTCTGAAAACGTGTGGTACCACAAAATTACTATTGGCGATACCACAACTCTTAAAAATCGCGGCAGAACGTTGTCATTTTTTCGGAGTATGGAGAGTATTTTATTCGCGGAAGAGTTTTATGTTTCCCGAACGGCAGTTGCATCCGCATAAAGATTGGAAAGATGAAGTTACTTATTTGGAGAAGCTTTTCGGTAATTAATCAATTAATAGTTTTTTTGCAATTCATTTTTAATTTATTTTATTAATATATATATATATATATATATAGATAATGGAGCCGCATACATAGTCGGTAGAATTAACGGCGATCATTGGAATCTATACCTTACCTCACCACAAGATGACGTTCTACTTGATCATAAATATCAACATTTAACTCCCGCCATTACCACAACAACCACCACCTCTAGAACACCATCTCCTCATCATATCCCCGAGCCACCAGTCATTGACACACATCCACCTTCAACTTTTCTTTCTGATTCTGAAAAAGAATTAGAACAAGACACATTATCACCCACAACCATTAAAGCCATCATGACAACTGCGTCCGAATTTCAAGACCAAACAATTGAAATTTTGATGACAAACCTAGAAAAATCTAGCGTTCAAAAATTTTATCAGAGTAATTCAAAAAAAGAAAACGGTGATGATGATAATGAAGGCGGCGCTAAAAGTGGTGCGCGTATCAATAGAGAATCCGGAATTGCAGATTTATACCCGGAAGCGAAACTCGATTCGTTTCTGTTTACTCCGTGTGGATACTCTGCGAATGCACTTCTCGACGAGAATTATTTCACAGTGCATGTTACTCCGGAGCCGTCGTGCTCCTATGCATCTTTTGAATCTAATGTTCCTTTATCATTCTATCAGAATCTTGATAATAATCCTAGCATTCGTTCGACAGTGTCAGACTTAATAAAAAGGGTCATCTCCATATTCAATCCGGGTAAATTCAGTGTTACCTTATTCACCAGCACCGACTCGCGTAGGGATAAAAGACATTTGGTGGCTTCTTTGGGTGATGATATCGTGGGATTTATTAGAAAAGACCGTATTTTGTATGAGCTTGATGGATATGATTTTATTTTTGCGCATTTCGAGAAAAAATGACCTTTTTTTGTTTATTTTTTATGTATATCATGAATAGCCATGTATGGACAATATACTTGTTCTTTATCGTATGTAATTTGATTTAATTATTCGATTATTAAAACATATTGTTAATCTATATCACGCGTGCAAAAAAAAACGAAAATCAAGCCAAATCTAATTTCTCTTCCCTCTTCCCTCTCCCCCTACATATTATCACGATAGTAATTTCGTTTCATCGCTCGATATTTTTTCAAGTAGTATAAAGCTTTTATTTCTATTTAAAAATAAAAATGAATTACATGTCAAATTTTCGCCTACAAAATCAGAATCCACAAAATAATTAAAGAACTGGAAATAAATACCCTTAATCACATATTCCCCATGCGAAATAGCCTCTCGAATATCTTTTTCTTCGACGAGTCCTCGTTTTTTCAGGAACGCGTCTTTTGCTTTTTTTTTAAAGTAGGGGTATCCGAGTGGGTAGTCTCTGCCTACGAATAGTAGCTGAACCGTTATTATTGATAATTGTAGATTTTTTTGATTGTGAATTTTTTATTGTGATTATTATGGTGGTTGATAAAAATGGTTGAATTAATGAAGTTGATCATTATAGAGCTGGCGCGCGTGAAAAATGATAAAATTACGTACCCGTTTATAGAGATCTATAACCTCAGATCGTAATGACATACGATATCAATAATCTTTAAAATATTAAAGTTTAATTCGAGAAATTAATTCCTAATGGTGGTAAATAGAAGAAATGTCGACATAATACTTTTTAATACTTTAAGCTCAATGTTAAAATTAACTTTCTATGATCAAACTTAAAATCTTTTGTTACACAATAAAATTAGCAAATTCACCCAACTATTCTAGGTAAAAAAGTGACTGCTTTATTAAAAATTGACCTACTATGTGAGCAAATTTATTTCTTTAGCCTTTTCTTCAAAACAAAAATAATTTGGCATGGACACTAAATTCCTTTCTCCTTAACCAGGCCCAGAACAAACTCGCGCGTAGGAAGTAGATCACGTTCGCGCTCAATGAGCCGTTCACGCAGTCGTTCAGTCAGATCAATTTCACGTTCACCGCGCTCCCGTTCCAGAAGCCGTTCTTACTATTCTTATTCTTCAAGGAGCCGTTCCCGTTCCTATTCTAAGAGTCGCTCACGTTCTTTATCGTACTCACGAAGTCGCTCTCGTTCCCTACCACCTTCACGTAGTAGGAGAGGCGCCTCTTCGCCTGCACCACCAACAAAGATTATCGTAGAAAAGTTGACAAAAAACGTGACTGTGGCACATTTGCAAGAGATTTTTGGGACGTTTGGAAATATTATTCATATTGATTTGCCGATCAATAAGAAATGTGGGTTTTGGTTTTTTTTAGATTAGAACGAATGATTCGTAATATTCACCGTTGCTCAAGATGTTTGGATGAAAGTGTTATTAATTGAATTTCGGGACTTTTACTTAGGGAATGCCAATAGGGGTATCGCGTATATTGAATATTCTACCAAGATGGAAGCCGAGAGGGCTATAAGCTATATGGATGGGGTAATTAATTCAGATCACAGAGTTAAGATGATATTTTAATACGTTACAAATTCAATTTGTCAATGCTGATGTATTGAATCTATCTAATAAAGGGACAACTTGATGGATCTGAATTAGCTTGTGCATTTGTGCCAAGACGTCCTTCTCCTCCTCCAGTGCCAGCACGTCGCAGAGGTAAAACATTTACTTTTCTTGCCTTTCGACAATTCATCTATTCTGTAAAATCGATTCTTATTATGTATTAATTTCATAATAAACAGCAACAAGATACAGCCCGCCACCACGTAGATTTGGTCCAAGCAGCTATCGAGGCCGAGCTCGCTCTCTGATTCGCAGTAGATACTCCAGATCTAGATCTCCGGTTCGTAGTAGACGACGTTCATATTCTTCGAGTTCGTATAGTTCACGTAGTAGATCTAGAACTCCGTATTCGAGGAGTAGAAGTAGAAGTTATTCGCTCAGTCGATCGAGGAGTCCTTCTCGAAGTCGAACTAGAAGCCGTAGTCTGACTCGGAGTCGTAGTCGCTATTGATTCTGCTTTGTTTTTTCCACCATCATCACTATCATCATCATCAAAAGAGAGTGAAACATGATGATTTGACATTCTTTTTTTTTTGCTTTTGATTGGTTGTTTGTTGATTCTACGGTTCACTTTGCATTTTTCCCTTTCTCATCGCTTGTTTTTTCTTTGTAATTTGCAAACTGATTGAATGGATTCATTATTTCACCTTTTTTTCTTTCTCGCTAACCCTATATGTTTATCATTGGTATTTTAATTTTTATTAATTTTCGTTACTGCACGCATGCACACACGCTATTAAGAATAGATAACATAACCTTTTTTTTCTTTCTTTTTCCTTTTTATAATATAACTAAAAAATAATCTTTCCCAAAGTGATTCTATTTTATTCAGCACAAATAAAAAAGTCATTATATAATATTGACAATTTTTTCCTATAAAGATGATAGTCTTATTATGGTAAGTTGATTTCATTATATATTAATTCAACATGTATTTTACTGACATGATCCTTATTGTAAATAATAGACCTCGCCATCTACCTAACTTAACCCTCTTTTTTTGGTGATTTTGAGCTATTAAAGACTGATTGAAAACATAAGGTCAATTTTTGTTAATTTTTTCGTGAATATTCATCATTCATTAACTAAGTTTGAATAATCGTTAAATTTTAGAATTCTAAGGGAATTGCTTGCCCAAGATTTTCGTCTATAGTCTTTTTTATTTGGTGGCTAAAAGTGAGTTTTTAGTGATAATTTTTTCTTCACTTAACACCAATCATTCTTTATTTTGAGTTTTTTTCTTTTTAAATCGATTATCCGCCTACGTCACTTTTTATTAAAAAGATGTGAAAATAATCTTTTCATTACCCTTTTGGTTCTTTAAAATTATATGATAGGTGAGAATAAACAAAGGGTTGTCTTTCAGGTAAGTGCGAGACAATTGGATCTTTTACTATAGACAAACTTGCGTATTCAATAAATAATTTTTCAAATAAAGCAATATGATAACCATATGCTAAAATGACGTGAATAAATTTTAAGGCAAGCTGATAATCGATCGATATGTTGCATCGATTATATTTAAATATTTAGACTGGAAATTGATGATCGTTAAAGAAATTATTTGTGAGGGATCATGGTGATGCTGAAATAACACAATTAGATCGATATACAGATACTTCACGCTTATTCTTATAAGCGTAAAAAAAAAATATTAAGATACTTTGCATCTTAACATCTTAACTGCTGTTATTAACGAACCTAATCATTGCATGCCATAATAAAATCAAGCTTCTTGTATTCTTGAGTAAAGGTTTAGTAGGAAAGATGAAAGCTTAATGACAAGCGTCAAAAAGGTAACGGTAAACTATTTGATTAGTGATAATGTTCGGAGTTTCAAAGATCCAATTTCTCAAGGACACCTGTCCAAAATGTTACTAAAACTAACCAAACATAATTAATATCTGATAGATTACAATAAAAGAACTTTATATTATTAAATTTATTAACAAACTTGCTAATAGTACATTCATTAAATTTGTTTTTTCAATTTAATTATTTTGCTATTTCATGTACTTTGACAATAAACCTATATTTATTCTTTTTTAAATATCTTTTATGTGGTATCATTGTATTTTATCCTATAGTAATTCCTTATTCGGCTTGCTAGGACACCAGGGTAAAAATGTTTAGTTCGATCTCCTAATATAGAATCATAAGACCACATTTCGTCATAAGGATTAATGTAAGCACTAAGAATTGCACGTAAACTTTCGAGAGTTTTTCCACATGCAACCCCTAAAGGACTTAAGACTTAGAATAGCATAGTGTGTGGCTGGATTTTTCCCCACTAGATCTAGTAGAAACTCCCCTTTTCCATGTACACCAAGTTACCAATACATGGCAAGATAATCAGAATTAATTTCTGCTAGATTACTCTTTTCAAAAACATATTTAGGTGTCAACTTAGATGTTGCATCTGTTTTAAAATCGGAATTAGTAGATTTTAGGTTGCGATTCTTGATTTGAATAATCCAGAATGTATGCTCATCTTGTATGCGAACAGGTATTAAAAGGTCGGCGCCTCTTTGATTTCGTTTAAGATTAAATGCAACGCCAGTTTTATAAGCTTTTATTAAATCATCTTTGTAAAAATAGTTCATTTAAAAAGTCCATCAGTTTAATTTCCCCCCGCAAAAAAGAGTTTCCTTTCTTTTTTTCCTTTTTGTTGAAGACTCTGACGGGTCAATATAAGAATGAGTTCTCCAACTATCTATCTCACCACGTTTTCCTGGTTCTACAATTCCTTGACCAAGTGTTTGTGCGATACAATGTAAGATGTCATTGTTCAAAAGTTCGTAAACAACTTCAGCAATCAAAGGTTCTGTTCTGATGGATAACAGATTAGAACTTTCATTCTATCTTGAGAAATCGCAAGACAGGTTCCAAAATGACCACCAATAAAATTTGAAGCAAAATGATAGGGAAATATCTACAGAACACAAGGAAGCAAGTATTGTTACACTTGTAAGGGTTTTCCTTTCTTCGTAATTTTCATCCTTAACTAATAATTCACCACCTCCTTGTATTTTTGCTTTTGCGAGTTTTATAACTTTATTCAAGAATAAATATCGGTTGACTCAGAACTATGACCTTCGCAGTATGCATCTTTGAATGCCTTCCAACATGGGTCTCCCATTAGAGAAGAGAAGATTATAGTAATTATTTGAAGTATTATCAGTCAGAGTGTTAAAAGTTTGTAACATCATGAAGATCTTGCGACTATCTTTGATTAATTTTATAGTTGGATCATCTCTAAGTGAAGGTGCAAAGTAGTGTCCAAGATTACTGAAAATTAACCTTTTACCCGCCACTTATTATCTCGAAGTGTACGTCTCCAAGATCGAAACAAGGATATACGCATTTCATTATTGTGGTATTCTAAAAGTGTTCTTCTCATCAATGCAAAGCAAAATTTTTATTTCGGAGTTAGCATTTTTAAAATTTTCTTCTAGATAACCTTAGTCCTTCTTGTCTGCTGGTTTAATTTGCAGGCTTCCAAATAGATTTGCCATTATCATTAAGTTGAGCTTCCCAAAATTGACTTGAATTGGAATAATTATTCTCTTTTATCAAGGATATTTCCTTTGCCAAGAAAGTGTTAAACCAAGTTGTCGGATCTTCGATAAATTCTTTTGCATCAGGAAAAGGGGTGGAAAACAATTCCTATTAATATCTAAATTTAGGCATAAAGTGTAGATATAATTTGCATACTTCTCGATTTTTCATAATTCGAGAATTGTAAAATAGTGAGATAGGATATATAAGTGTTTTCAGATTTATTGTGACATTCATCAATATATCACTGAAAATGGTCTAAAGATTCTGAGTTATCTTAAAATTCGTGATTAAATGCAATAGAGATATATTTAAACTCAGCTACATGTTTTAGTATATTCTTTCTTCTTTGAATTTTTTCTTTAGATCTATCTGACTTGGTAATAAATAAATGATTATAATTATATTTAATTTAAAAACAAAAATCAGACAAAGTGATAGATATTCTAATTTAATCTTACTCCCAATTACAATTTCTAATGCTTTATTTTTTTAATTGTATAATTTAGAAATAGAAGTTTTCAGATTCAAGACTTTATCATTTTCATGACAAAGAATGATAACATTTTCAGATACATTTTCAATAGTATTTTTTAATCTAGATTTAATTATTTTTATTAAATCTCTCATATTAGACATACTTAAAGCTTTCAAGATATTTTGATTAAAAGAGAAGACTTAATTAATTATTATAATGGATATATATTTTATTAGAAAAAGCTTATATTATTAAAGTTAAATAAAATATTAATAGAAAATAATAATTTAAATAAACAGATTTGAATATTAGAAATATACTTACTAAACTTGATATTTTTTATAAAATAAAAGATATATTAAATAGATTATAATATATAAATAATAATAAAATATATAAATTAATAGTGATAAAATTAAGATATATCTTGAGTTAGTTTTAATATAATTATCTATTTTCTTAATCTTTATATCTCTTAGTTTTCTGATTGATTATTAATAAAATTTAGAAACTTAATAAATAAATAAAATTATATATTTATTATTTTTATTTTGCAATAATATAAGAAAATAAATAAATAAAATAAAAATATATTTAAAAGTATTATTATTTTTTATAATATTAAATTTCTTAATTAATTTACTAAAGTTATTATAATATTTAGTATGAAATAAAATAATATTTAAAATAATATATTATAAAGTTCTAATAATAAGTAATCCTTTAAAATAAATAATTTTCTCCTCTTTAGATCTAAAAGTATTAGAAAAGTTAAATAAGTAACTTTTATTTATGATAGTAATTTTAATATATAATAATAAATATTTTCTAAGTATTTCAATAATTAATAATCAAATTCAATAAAAAAATTGTTAAAATAATTATTTTAATAAAATGAATCTGATAAGCTATAAAATATTTAATTTGAATGATTAGTTATTAAATATATTTATATTTATTTAAAAAGCTTAAAAATAAAGTAATTCTCTTAAAATTAATCTTAAAAATGATAATATAAAGAATTACTTATTATCAGAACTTTATAATAGTTAAATTTCTTTAAATTTAAAAAAAAAATTTTTAATAAAGAATATAAAAAAGATATTTATAATAATTAATATGGGCCGGTGCAAAAAGATTGGTACACCAATATAAAAATCAATAA